TTTTCATTATTTCTTGGCAATGACTCGCTTGTACCCACGCTCAAATTAGCATGAGAAAAAATTGAAATGTCTATGATAAAAAAAACTGCAACAGAGAGGAAACATTTCATTTTCCTGCAAAGAGGGAGCATAAAATGACCCAGTACAAATAAATTAAAGACTTAAATAACTTTTCAGTTAATGTAAAATAACCATGTAAGATTTCTTATTAGAGGTTAAAGCATTACCTTAAAGCTAACACATATTTTTAATAATTAAAACAAACATTATTTTGCATGGTTTCAGTTTCTGACTGGTTTAACACTTCAAATACTTTTTGTCAGTTTGTGACTCCATATGCTTTTCCTTTTGGGGGAAGTCAACACGAATCAACACAAAGTAGAGTGCAAGCCCCCACTGATGTACACAGTCTCTCTGAAAAGAGCTTACAAAATCTCTATGAGACTACCTGGTAAAATAAAAAAATAAAAAGTGATCACCCTGATCCCATTTCCAATAAAACCCCAAAAGGATCTGTTGATCTCTACCATGGTGATAATGATCCCAACAACAGGTCATGAGGTGCTGACTGTGTTGTTATAGGAAAATACTGTGAGTTGTATCCTGACGGCTTCAGAGTCAACACATGTCAAACTAGGAGATCACCAGTGGCAGATTCAGGAAAAAAACTTTAGTTTAAATTACCGTATTTGATCGTAGAGAGACCCTCCCCCCACAGCGGGCGCAGAACTTGGTCTTGCAGTACGAGCACAGGCTCCCACAGCCGTCTGCAAACTTGGTCTTGCGACAGATGCCGCAGGTTGGCGCGTCATCCGATGAACGGCCGAGCTCGCTGCCACCGAGGCCTGCCGGATCACCGTCTCCCTGTAGCTGGACAACTGCTGCGGATACCTCTGCAAAAAAAGGCAGGAGGGAAACATGAATATTTGGTATCTTTGGTAGATGATTGTGCTCTTAGGTTAAGATATGATCATTCGTTATTGATCCCAGTGGGGAAATTCAAGTGCTGCAGCGGGAAGAAAGACAAGAAGAAGAGCATGCATATGAGTTTAAGTAAAGTGAATTACTGTAGTATAACAAAAGTACGAGAGACATGTTGACACTTGCATAAACTTACATTAAAAGTAATGGTGTGGGTGTTGCTAATGTGTGATAGTTTTTTACCCTCATGTATCTATAGATGCTATAAATGCTACATTGATGTGAAAACATCAACATGGTAAAGCTTTTGATATTTTACAGGTAAGCATAAAAAGTTGAGAGCCTGCAGTGATGACATTTTCTTCTTTAAAAAGCTTCAAGCAATAAGTACAGCTGAAGATGCCTATGAGTTAACTAGTTGATTAGTTTAAAGTGCATACCAACATCAGGGCTCACCCAAGCCTAAGGCTGCCTATGCAAGATATCAAACTGTATCCTCTTTAGTAGTCTGTACTTGCATTAAAAGGTAGGGGGTGAAATCACATGAAAGTGACATACAGGTTGAAAGACGCAGTAGAAATTGACTGAACCAATGGATTTTAACAAACGTGCTAACAGACTGCTTTCTCAGTTTTAATGGACAGTCATTGCAGACAAGCAAACAAAAGAAAAATGCAAGAATGATCACTGACCAGAACTGAACAGGCTATGTAATGTGGAGTTGGACGCTAAAAATCAAATAGTACATACATTACAATGTACAATTCCATTGTATGAACACATAAATAAAGAAAGCAAAGCAGAAGTGAAGTGAAACCAGAGGATGAAGGAGACAGTCGTTGCATTAAGTCCAGTCGATATCACCACTCTCTCTGAATTGTTTGTGTTTTGGTGCTATCAACTTTTTTCGTGTGTGCTTGTGTTTCAGACCGCTTTGCCGACTCAAAAACTCCTCAGATCGATGTGGGAAAGAAAGGAGAAGAGTATTGTTTTATCTAAGGCGTTACAGTATGTTGATTAATTGGATTTCACACTGTGGAGATTGAGGAGGAGCAAATAGAGGGGAAACAGACCAGAGAGAGCTGACGGGCTGAGAGGACACACTGGGTATTCTTATTTGATTTAGTCGGGTTGCTTTTTCCTGACTCTCATCTGAGCAGGCAGGTGTCTGAAAAAACGCATAATAATTTACAGATGGCGCTTAACAAGATTATCTAACATATTCTGTCCATGCATCCTTTTATAAGCATTAAAAAATGGGGAAGCATAAGAAAGGCAAGTAAAGACAGCAAGGGATGATAAATAACAGAGTTAAGGAACTATAAAGACGATAAAAGAAGGAGGAGAGAACGGTATGCAGATTGGAAAGAAAAGGAGCGAGAAGAAGAAAAGACATGAGGAAAGAATAAGGGAAGAGAGAGAGAGGAGACTGGAGTATAAAGAAGTATTGGCTTAAAAAGCCATGAAGATCAAACAGAGAGGAGACCCCTTAGGTCCTCAGACATGCTCACTTAAAGCAACAATAAGTAGGAATTTGGTTTGGTTATCTTTAGTGCCCACTGCAGGTTTCTAACTGTAACTGCACTGTCGTGAGACACATAGTTCTGTTACAGCTATACCAGTCAGACAACAATGTTTGTTTACAAGCAGAAGGTGCAAAGCCGACAAAGACATGCAAGAAGCTAAACACGTTGACCAAGAAGGTAGAGTAATATTACCTGATTTTGCACAAGAATAACTCTTTAGTCTGATGTTTGCAGGTGGAGTATATTCGAGAAGTGTATTTAACTGGTTGAAATTGGTTTGCACGGTTTCTGAACTTACAAAGCTATCCTGAAGATCCGCAATGAGAGAGCCAACTTTTTGGCTTAAGAGAGATTTATTTATTTAATTGTGAGCAAACTTGAGGTATCACTTGAGTTAGAGGACTTTCCGCACCTCTAAAGCTGCTAAACATGAGACGATGATGATACTGCTAACAATACAGCCGAACGTTACGTCGAAATCTTTTCTGAATAATATCTGCAGGGGTGTTCACTTCACTCTGCTTCTTGCTCAGTCACTTTCTCTTTTTCTCCTCTTAGCTTCATCTGTCACCGTACTCTTTCTCTTAGCCTCGGTCGTCATATCAAACAGCACAGAGACGTGCTAACTGGCTGCTCTGTAGCTGAAGGCTGATGGGTAAACTGTAGTGCTGTAAAGTTACAAACTGCAGTTAACAGGCGATAAGGCAAGTAAGAGACAATGAAAGTTATAGTGCGACCTTTAAAACTACTATTTAAGTTATAGAAAGTGACATATTGTTCTTTTGGGGGGTAAGGGAATTTCCTCCATGGTTTCTGTCGCAGTATTGATTATAAATGTAGTCAACTAAAGTAAAAGAAATCTGACAGAGAAAGCTGAGTTCTCCAGCTCTTATCTGTTACAGCATTGCCTACGTGTCCCAGGATGCATTTCTGCTGCATCCCCTGCCTTACTCAGCTGCTATATTTTGTCATATTCAGTATAAACAGAGCTGAATGCTGGAGTCAGTCAAAACAGCATTTATAGCATCGCATGTTAAACAGAGTCCTAGTTCTTCCAGGCCAACACTTCCATTAAACTCCTGCAGCGGTGCTGGAAGTACAACACATTTGTATGCATCGCCCCAAGGAGAACATTTACAACAACTGAAGGTGTTTCACACCGTTCATCTTGGTGGGACCAAAACTCTATAGAGCATGTTGTTCTCTGGGCTCGTGTCATACAAAAGTGGAATGGTTGGTGCTACATTTATTTTTTTTCATTTTTTTTAAACCCTGCTAATTTGACTCACTGCATCACTACTTCATGACTCCTCAAACATGCGATTATTTCATTTATTTATTTTAATTTCATAAATTAGGCTGACTGAATAAAAGTTAATAAGCCAAAGAAGAAGTTGACAGCAGGATAAAAGGAGAAGAAGACAGCAGTGAAAAGTTAAGAGAAGAAGCATGATAAGAGGAGAAACTTACAATTTGTATTATTCAGTTGTTAATATCTTAGTATTGTAATATGATTGTCTTGTCTGATTATTTATTATAGAATCACTGTATCGTAATATTATCTTTAATGTGAGCAACGAATTACGCCCATCGTGTATCATGTTTGATTTTGCGTTTCCCTGGGATTCTGTTTTCTTATTTATCCATCTCAGAAAGGGAAGATTGAAATCTGCAGAATTTCCCTTTAACACCATGATCCAATGAAAAATAATAAGCTGCCTCAGAGCCTCAAACTGAGTCAAAAGTCCAACATTTTTCATTCATGTCAAAGAAAACTACCCAACAAAACTCTTCTTACTATTCTAACTCTTTATATGAAATGGCAAAAACGTAAAAGGAGAGAAGTCACAGAAGGAGAGAAGAGGAGGAGACAGAATATGAAATTATTAAAAAAAAGAGAGATGAGAGGAGTAGAGCGACAGGATTAAATAGTGTTTGCACTTGAAATCTTACCAATATAAAACTCTGCGTTATAGGTCATAAAGGTAAAGTGCTCCTATAATAGCATGTTTCAACTTTCCCCAAATCTTAAAAACTAAAACAACAATTTAAAACCAACAATAAATCATAATTTAAAATCTAATTTTAAGTAAACTTTGAAAAAATGTTGCAACAAATAAGACAGACAAAATAATGAGAACAAAAATGTGATTAATTACTATTTCTGTTATTTTGAAAGTAGTAATGAAAGTGTAGAATTATTTTAAGAGGTAGTCGGTCATGCACTCTTTGGACATCAACTTAACAAATAATGACGAAAAGTAAAAAGGTCTAGACTAGATCAGAAAATAACGTCATATTAATGATAAATATCCAATCCAGACCAAATATATAGAGAGAAATCCTTTACTGAAGAACTGCAGGAAAAAGTAGTGACCTTATGTGTGTAAATAATTCAACTTTTTAGCAACATTTTGTGAAAAACAAGACCAAATATGAAATTCTTCCTCTCAATTAAGAGGTAGTCTAAAAGTCCCAATATGCATCTAACACTATATCTGTTATAATGCACAATGTATAATAATATAATAATAATAATGCACGAGTGTGACAAGATGAATAGAACAATGCAGGACTATGGAGAGCAGTTTTTCACAATGTAAGGTAAAGCTAGCTGGGACATGTTGGACTACAAGTTGGAATCCCAGCTCTGAGCTCCTCACAGTAAATCTCTGCTCCGTCATTCAACCATCAATCAAACAGAGTGAGGAGCATTTCATCTGATAAGATACTAAAGCATATCACTTTCTCTGACTGCAGGACCAGTTTACTTACAGACTAGGGGTCAGTGATTCAGCCTCCTCCCCCATCAGCTCAGCCTTTAAAAAACTACAAATCCCAGCAGTTGAGGCCAGAAAAAAAGAAGTCCTACATCCAGTCGTTTAGTCCACATTGCTCTTTGTGTTCATCGGTACAAACTAAATACACCCTGATAAGAACCCTTCAGAGACCCTAAGGACCCAGTGAGGAAATGTTAACACCTGCCCCCCCCCCCCCACCACACACACACACACACACACACACTTCCTGGGAGCAATAGCCAAAGGTCAGGGTGAGGTCACCTGCTGCTGCAGCACGGCAGGATTTACTTCCTGATCCACCACTCACACTGTGACTGTCCCAACTGCTAGTTAAGATAGACTATTATACAGTCTACATGCTCGTTATATGGAGCCAGTGGGACTGATGTGCAGGGCTGTTTATTGAATAATGAACCAGTCCTACAGGCTTGTTTAGAGGAATTAAGCTAAAGCCTCTTCCACACGTTTTCACATTTTGAGGTTTAAATGTCTGATGTTGAGGTAGCATCCTTTAAAAACCTGAAACAAATGTTACATAGGTCTCTTAATAACCACAAGACCCTGCAGCGCGCCAATAGCCTTAGTGGTCTAATGCGTGCGCCCTACATGCAGAGGCTGTGGTCCTCTTGGGCGGGTGGCCCGGGG